TTAAATACGGGCCTGTCAAACAACGGATTAAAGAAACTTGTTAAAACTATAAACAAAACATCAAGCAGCAAGATGGTAGAGCGAAATTTCTACATGAATTTTTTAAGACTAGGTCGACAATTGAGCGATTCCTTCACCTGCAGCGACTTAAAAATCACAGATAAAAAAACATATTCTTGTACAGTTCATGTTGTTGCTCACTGCAATGATTTATCAAGTCTTGTGAATCATGTTATTCAGTCCCGCAAAATTTCTGATGGCCATTTTGTTAAGCTTGGAATTGATGGTGACAAAGGTTTTCTCAAGTTTTGCCTAAGCATTGTTGATACTGCGTTAAGAGATGAAACCAGCTCAACGCACCACCAACAACCTCTCACTCAAAGAACTAGTAAAGACACTTGAGTCAAGAGACAAATTGTTGTTGGGGTTTCAGAAGATTTGCCAGAAACGCACTCCACTATTGAACAAATCTGGTCACTGATTAATGCAAATGGTGTTAAACTAATTTTAGCTTGTGATATAAAAGTTGCAAATATAATTTGTGGTCTTCAAACTCATTTAAGTACGCACCCTTGCACCTGGTGTGACGTCAAATTCAATTGTCTTGCCAAATCTGGAAACTTGCGAACACTGGGCTCAATTAATCCAAGCCTTGAGTCTTTTCAGCAATCTGGCGGGGTTGTTGCTAATGCAAAGCTGTTTGGCAATGTCATTCGAAAGCCAATCATCTGCGGGCCTATCAATGTTCTGATTTTGGAAATCATTCCACCGATGGAATTGCATCTCCTCTTAGGAGTTGTCAACCATCTTTTCAAGATCCTTAAAACTGCTTGGATAGAAGCTGTTGAGTGGCCAGCCTTCCTCCACATTTAACTGAGCCCGTATCAAGGGGGCCAGTTTGAGGAAAATGAATGCAGGAAGCTTCTTAAAAATGTGGATATGCTGCAGCAACTTACTGAGACAAACATAGTTTCCAATATTGTGTGCATAATTGAAGCATTCAAAAGCTTTAATTTAGTTGTCAAGGCTTGCTTTGGATACATCCTTCAGCCGGATTTCGCTGAAAAATTGAAAATTTCAAAAAGTGTTACCTAATGATAACTGGTGCAAGCGTAACACCCAAAATTTACGCCGTCTTCTACCAAATCAAGAATTTCATCAGTCACAAAGGATCCCCCTTGGGGCCCTATAGTGAACAAACTGTCGAAACTTCTCATCAAGATTTTTATCAACATTGGTCGAAGTATAAACGAAATAATAATCCTTCAGAGTATAAAGAAAGATTGTTGCGCTGCATAATTGATCTAAACTGTAAGCATCTTTAGAGAACATCATTAGAAAGTAGGCTGCTGAAATTCATATTTTACGGCGTACAATGAATATTTTCACTATCTTTAAATAGTATTATAGTAGTATTATAGAGTTTAAGTAGTATTTGTATTAAAAGAGTACATTGAGATATCTATTAATAATCTTTTGGTGGAGAAAATTAAAAAAACATTTCTTAAAATGTAGTTAGATATTTGATGGTAATACAATTACTATTTCATCACTTGAGTTTGTGGCTGAATAAGCTTTAAATACAGTTTTTGACCTGGACAAATGACTTTATTTGTTGACTTTAAAAGACAGTTTGCAGTCTCTAGGTCAATACATCTTAATCCTTTAACAGAGCAATGATTGGCCAAAAGGATTTAAATCATAGCGCTGCAAATGCAAACTAACAGCAGTGATTTGTGGTGGAAAAAATTTAAAGAAAATTTTTTGATTAAGTAATAAATTCGCCTGACAATCAAACTCTGTTCCTCAATCAAAAGTTCTGAACAAAGGTCAATAAAACCCTTTTATTCGTAAATAACTACTTAAAAACTTCTTTAAAATTTTCCATTATAACCAGTACTTAAGTTTTGTTCAAAAGGCATGTTACTTTTGTTTTATTTTCAATTCTAACTTTCTTCTTCTAATAATTTTATTCGATGTTAGTGATGAACTTTTATAAACTAAAATTTTTAATTTAATTTAGAGAGGTTTGTCCGTAGAATAAAATATACTTATTTACTAAAATTAGCTCTACAAGGCAAGTTAATTTGCGAATCCTAATATCTCTTTTTAAGATATCAAAGAGTTTGTTGACCTAACGTAGCTCATAAAAACTAGATGGTTTTAGTTCATAGGAAAAATCTCTCTAAAATGATTTTTGTTATTTTTAAAAGTGTGAAATAAGCTCTCTCCAAAGACGCAATTAAAAAAACAAAAAAATTTGCCCTCATTAAGTTTTAGAGATACATTTTATTTTAAGGTATTTTACTTTTGGCACCATATAGGCTTCATAATAACTAACCATGGGCATTTTTTATAAATCTGATTTTTTATCCATATCATTATATTAGTACGTAGAAACTTCAGAAAAAATAACAATACTAAAAAATTTTTTGTTCTGGAGATAGGACCCTACAAAAAAACAAAACTTTGTGGTGTTGAATTTGTAACGCTATTTGTTGAACCATATACTAAATTCTTGGCATGATATAAAAGTTGTATTAAATAATTTGCAATCTGCATCTTTGGTTTACTAAAAATCGACGTTTTTAAGATATATTATAATTTAATTGCAATAGTATAAGACTCCGAAAATACGGCTTTTAGCTACAGACTGATATTAAAATTTGGGTAATCCTTACAAAGAGTACCACCAAATCCAAACCTGATAACTTAAAACTTCGGCGATGTTCAACTCCATACCGACAAAATTTTATCAAAATTTGAGTTGGTTGAGTGAGGATGATTTCGGAAATCAGACCGTTTGGCGTGGAATGACCCTAATACCACTTTTGAAAGAATGGGCTTTAAATTATAACATACCAGTAACTCATTTTTCACAATAGTTTCAACTTCTTCACTTTTTTCATAAATTCTTGCCTCTTGATGACCGCATTATACTGCTGACTCCAAGACAAACAAATGTAATTCATTTATAAGATGGTATTTTATATTGCCATGTTGAGATCAGAGATAACTTAGTTAAAATATTCCACGTGTAATAGTTGAATTGATTATTAAATTGCTCTATACGTCTTTTAATTAACATCAACGGTTTACCCATATATAAAAGCTTTAGTTATCATTTGTGACATATACTTGGAATTGTCAAAGGCTCTGCTAGTGAGAAACCTTTTACCAATGGTATCTATGGTGGTAATAAAAGCCTGAAAGTGTCAGAAAATTTTTAAATAACTTCATTTCTGAAATGAAAATTCTTGAAAAAGTATTTTAATTATAAATCATTTGTTTCATGTTACTACTTCTAATTTTGTTTGTGACGCACCAGCTCGAGCTTATTAAAAATGCATAAAAATGCATTCAGGTTATAATTCATGTAAGCTCTATATCCAGAAAGGTGAATGGATTGACAGAAAAGTCATATTACTAGATTTGAGTTCACTCTTCCGTACTGATGTATCTTTTGACGAAACGCTTAATCATGCAGTTCATCATGCTATGATTTAATCTTGACTCCATGCATCTTATGTGTCTTGGAACCGGCTTTTAACTATGTGAAAAAAGGATCTTTAAAAATCTACAAGGTTGATTAATTAACTCTCAGAGCGTATATGCAATTATTGACTTATGATTCCAAAAGAGTTCAGTCCCAAGCCGTAATCTTTACAGGAGTTGGATTGTTGGAAGGCCACTGAATTTCGGCAGTTTTTAATGTAAACTGGACCAGTTGTGCTTAAAGTAATTTTAAACGTATTAACATTTCCTGTTGATACATAGTTTTGTTAAAAATTCCTTTAACAAATCTTTGCTTTTACTATGCCGAGTATTCTTGTAAACTTTGTACGCAGTTTGTGGAACCAGCTCCTTTTTTGATGGACGAAACATTTTAGTTTACAATGTTCATAATTTAATCCACATTGTTGATGTTTTGTTATTCGGAATTTTTAAAAATTTATCTTGGAAAGTTAAAGAAATTAATCCATCATTTAAATTTGCCCTTACACCAAATCATATGACGGTTGTCTGAGCATGAGCATTTATAACCGATTATGGCTAATAAAATTAAAAAAAGACTAAAATATTTCCATGAAGTGGGACCCGTACTATTTGATTTTATCAAAGCTAATTATATTCAATATAAACAGTTGCATTATGATAATACTTTTTTTTCAAATTACGTTTTAGACCCCCCCTCATCCTTGTCACAACGTAACTCTTTAGTAACAAAATCCGTATGAGTAGTCACAAAAACATTACTCCTTCCCTGCCCCCTAAAGCGTGACGTAATTTATGGACGACCCTTAGGCCATACTCGTCAAAGAACAGGTACGCTCCTTTTAAGATCTCTTCGGGACGGCCCTGTACATCAAACTATAAAAACAATTATTAACGCATAAAAAACACTGAAATGTAAGAAATTATATTTATATTAGATAAAATGTTATAAATAAATTCATAAATAAAAATCAAATAAAAAAATTTTAAATAGTTAAAATTTTGCTATCGTCGTTGATACTTCATTATATTAAATATTTGCAATAAATCTTAAAATCAAAATAATAAAATTTTTCTATGTTTCAAACATATTATTGTTAAAAAATAAATAAATGACGTTTTTAAATGGTTTTTTCTTTTTTGAGAGGTATCAAACATCTCATTTGTTTCTTTTTTGAGAGATATTAAACATCTCATTTCTTTCTTGATAATAAATAAAATAAAAATTTAAAAATTTTTTACTTTGAAAATGTTTTTTATTAAAAAAACAAAAATAAATGTAGTGCATTTTTTAAATTGTTTTTAAGAATATATGAGCTTGTTTTTTAAACACCGAAATAAAAATCTGTCTCATTTATTGTCAAAAGTGAAAAACCTAAGCGTAATTTATATATATATATATATATATATATATATATATATATATATATATATATATATATATATATATATATATATATATATATATATATATATATATATATATATATATATATATATGTATATATATATATATATATATATATATGCGTGTGCACAAATATAAAAAAGATGGAGGTAAAACTCTTATAATAACTATGTCGATGCCACATAAGAGACTTCTTTTCCTTTCAGCCAGTAAGTAACCATCTTTCCTTTTCCTTTTACTGGTACTAAACCACGACACTCAAAAGTATAACCACGCTTAGAGAGCAGATTGTAAACACTTTGTGTTACCTTGTAAAAAAAACAATAAACAATAAATAATTGAAAATTAAAACTTTCCTACAATTAAAAAAAATTCTATTTAAATTGGGAATGTATTTTTTGTCACTTATTTAATATCATAACTACTATGAAAATTTATAAAAGTGACCTGAATTTGAAATAAATTTTAAATTTTCTAAATTGCGTCAAAAATTAATTTGGGTTTCAACTGACAACTTAGACATAATTTATATGATTATTTGACATGAATTACATAATTGAAACACAAACTACTAATTTTTCATGCATACTGAGAGATTTTTGTTGACTGCATTTTAAACAGACTCTAATTTTAATTAACCAAAAAATCCCAATTACAGCCTGCATTTTAACGTAACAAATTAACTTTTAGATAACCTTTACCGAAACCTATCAGTTAATACGCGAGGAAATAAATATTAATTAAGTTTTAAAACATTTAAAATCGATTGAATTTAAATATGTTTCAAATCAGTCAAAAATGAAACGTATTGAAACGTCATATATTGTTCTAAACCAACCAACTATTATACACTGCACTTTTTTAAAAAGTTTTCATTTGAAGTCAGATTTTTAAACCACTCATTTCAATAAGTTGACAAGAGATAAAAACATTTGAAAAAAAAACAAAAACAGCACTTTTAATTTTTTTTACCCTTTCTCTAAAACCATTATCTTTTGCGCACCAAAACATATTGATTTATAAAATTATTATAAAAAGATATGTAATGAAGAGAAGTTACCAGAAGATACCTTTAGAAGATCGATTAAAAGAAGATAAGCCACAAAAAGATATGTTAAGAAGAGAAGATACCTTTATAAGATCTATTTAATCTAATATTTAATGTAGATATGTTGATAATTTGTAAATTTTAAATTTTTATTAAAATGCATTTACGCTAAGTTTTTGTTTTATTATTTTCGCTGTAACCATTATGGCGCGCAATAACGTAATATTTTAGTACCCATTCTGCAAAATACCAATGTACGAACACCGAGAACTATCGTTCCGAGAATTAACGAACTTCACCGAGTTTGATATGCGCCGTTTACAGGTCCGCCGATGATTGCTAAAAGGCATAAAAATACAACAAATAGAACTAAAAGTTCTATTTGTTGTATTTTTTTTTAATTTAAATTATATATATAAGAGGATGTAAAACAATTAGATAATACAAACAATTCCAAAAACTTTTGCATCAAATACACTCAAATACACATTTAGAGTGTTTTTCCCTTAAAACTTTTTTAGTTTATTTGACCGGTTTTTTGGTCTTCAATAATGCAGATTAAAATTTAAATTTTAATCTGTTCATTCAAAATAAATTGGTCATTTATAGATAGTACCCAAGACAAATGAGGCTTCTAACATTAAGTAACTGTAAGTCAAGTCTGAACTTACCGTAAATATATACATATTTAAATCAAATGAAAAAAGATATTTCAAAAAAGTTTCAGAAATCTAATGAAAAACCAGAAGACCAGGATTTCATTATTATCAGAATTATCTGAAAGAAAAAAAAAAGATATTGCGAATAAAAATATGAGATTACATATGTTGTATTTAAGCAAAAATTTGATTGGATTTGCATTACGTTTGTCTGAAATTGTGAGAATGTTGCCATGATTGATGCTCTGAATATACCACTAATAAAAAAGTGAAAAATTAATTTAAATGACATGGAATCTTTTATTCCATCTCAAAGATTACAAGTCAAGCCTGACTCTTCTCCTTAGTTTTCCTCTCATTGTGCTGCTGCAATTTCTAATTGTAACAATTACTTTTATATCTATCAGCAAAACAATTCTCCAGAAAATAGAAATCTGTTTACTATTGCTAGAAACCATTGTAAAAAGGTTTTGTCTAAAGCCAAAGCCCGCAATTCTCAAGCCATGAAATCTCATATTTCATCACAAAAATTAGGCTTTCGCGACTTCTGGAGAATCTTAAATAAAAATCTATAATAAGAGAAAATCTGTTATTCTACCTTTCTTGCATGGTTCAGATTTTGTTACCTCACCTAAAGACAAAACTGATTTGTTTGCTAAGAATTTCTCATCAATATTATCTATTGATTCCAGTAGTTATGCTCTACCTGATATAGCTGACAAACAGGTTGATCTATTGCTTGATATTCATATAACTCCAGCTACTGTATCTAAAGTGATTTCCTGCTTAGACTCTTCTACATCTTGAGGACCGGACAACATAACTGTTATAGTGTTGTCTTCTGGAGCCGTCGTCTATATTTTCAAAACTATTTAACAAGTGCTTCTCAGAGTCTTGTTTGCCAGCCTGCTGGAAAGCGGTATCTGTTATCCCTATTTTCAAAAATTCCGGAGTTCAATTTGGCTAGTCTAACTACCGTCCTGTTAGTCTTCTTCCTATCATAAGCAAGATTTTGGAGTCTTCAATTAACTAACACTTAATCTCTTATCTTGAATCTAATAACTTATTTTCTGATCATCAATATGGATCTGTCATCTTGCTCTACTTTATTGTGACATAGAGAGGTTAAGGTTATTGCTCTCAACATTTCTAAAGCCTTTGATAAAGTTTGGCATGCTGGTCTTCTCCATAGCCTCTCTTCTTACGGTGTATTAGGTAACATCTTTAAGATTATTGAATCCTTCCTTACCAACCTTAGTATAAAAGTTATCCTCGATAGACAGCACTCTTCTTCATATCTTGCAACTTAATAGATTCCTAAAGGTTCTATCCTTGGCCCTATACTTATTTTAATTTACATTAACTACCTCCTTGAAATTTTCACATCTAAGGTGGCATTGTTCGCTGATGATACTACCATTTATTCTTGTCTTGATAAGATGCCAACACTCTCTGATTCTCTCTGAAAAAGATCTCACTTTTGTTACAGCATGGAGCTCTCAGTAGCTGGTAAAGTTTAACAAAGATAAAACCTAATTTATTTCAGCTAATTGTTATCGCAACAATCTTGGTCTTCCTTTATTTATGAACAGCGATGTACTCAATGAGTCATCTACCATTAGTCTTCTAGGATTAACTCTTTCTTGAAAACCATATATTAAATCCATTGCAAAATCAGCATCTGCTAAGGTTGCATCTCCTACCATTTCCTTACTCTGAATTCTATTCTTTATCTCTATAAGTCTCAAACCTGTCCTTGTATGGAATACTGTTACCATATCTGGGGCAGATCGTCCAATGATTCCCTTTCTTTTTTAGATAAGATGCAAGAATGCATTGTAAACATAGTCAGACCTGCAGCCAACCTCTACCCATTATCACATCAACATAATGTTGCATTTTTTTTCTATAAATACTACAATAGTCACCTTGTTTTTCTGATTCATATAATTTGCAATCTTTTAAGTTGTCTGTTAATTATTATTTTGCTCTATAAACTTCATATTTTCTCTTCCAATAACTTCTAACTAATAGTGGTTGAAAAAAAAGCAGCATTGTTGGAAGTGAAAATTAAAAAAAAAAAGATGTGATATTTTCAAATTTTAGTTTTAAAATGTTTGTAACAGCAAATGTTGAGCAGTTCTCACAATTTTTAATTTTCAACTTTTAGATTAACATTTAATTAATTATTTTAGTTTTAACAATATTTTAAGAAAATCGCGTCTAAATCTTTTTTTAATGTCTTTAGATACATAAATTTGATACATATATATACTCACACTCTATGAATAAAATTTGGAGAATTATGCTAATAAACATTAATTATGCTTTTCATGATTTTGAAAAATTCCATTAAATCTTCTCTATTTTGTCGTCTCTTAAGTAACTTCTTTTTTGCAATAACAATAATTTTTTTCTCACACAACAAACCTCTAAATTATGAAATTTGTTTGCTCTTTTCTGAATATTTTTAATTTTTTTGATTTTACCAATGCCCGAAGGATGCGAAGTTCAGTTTAAATAAATGCCTCACAAAATAAGTACAGTTTACATAAGTGCATAAGTACAATGTTTGAAGATTTGTTTAAAACTCTTTTCACCTTACTAACCATATAATTGATATAAAAATTCTTTATTTAATTTTTTGGCACATAAACATCTAAAGTCCTTTTATGTTTTAGCTTTTGATTTTGACTCCATTTGCAACTACAAATTTTCAGAATAATTGAGGAATAAGTCAACTGCAAACAGTATTGGACCCAGAACCAAACATTGTGGGAAACTACTAATTATTTGAATTTATTCAAATGTTTTCCCAAAACTACTCTTTAAGCATGTTAATTAAAAAACGTTAAAATAAATAATCAACAGAAATAATCAACAAAACCATCTAATTTCAATTCTATTGTAGCTTCAGGGGCTTCAGCACATACATCAACTATCTTATAGCCTGCTGCTGGTAGGAGTGCTGCTACATCAACTGGGGGTTTGGCATGAGGCAGCAATGAAGAATATGTTCAACTTAATCAATACTTTTGCAAAATTTAAAAACAAGACATCTAGTATAAACCTTCAACTTCTTGACTTTTATTTATTATTTTTTGGTTTTAATATTGTTTCTAATAGAAATTTCTTTTTGAACAAAACCATGTGGTTCGTTTAGGGATGTTACATGTGTATGATTTATAGCAAAAAATTAGGGTTTAGCCGAACTGTTTGAGCATACTTTAAATACTATTGAACGAACTTCATTAACTTTTCATTGATTTTATTCATGTTTATCTTTTCCAATTTCATTCTAATCATTTACTCCTCAAACATTGGATCAGAACATTTATAGTTTTTTTTTCTTTTGCATGTTGATATATAGAAAAGTTTTAACAGAAAACAAAACCAAAATTGTTTAATATATTAAGATTATTGTTTCTATTATCTATATCTCTATAGCTCTTCAGCCTTTTTTGATTTCACCTTATTTGATTAATCATTAATCAGATGATTGGTTTTTATAACATTTTTTATTGTTATTTGATGAACTGATTTCTTAATCTTTGATTTTTTAATTGTTTTTAAAATTCATTTGACAACGCTTAATTATATA